TTTTGTACAATCGTCTACAGAAGAGATTCTCATTAATTCTACAATAGCGTTTTCTTCCATCTTGTCCGTATCCGCTGTCACCTCGTTACAATAATAGCCAATATCTCATTGCTTAAATTCTTTTCCGGATCCGACGAGGACCCGATGTATATTTCGGACGGAACCGTTGTACAATTATTTTTTCTGTATTCTTTTTCCGCATTACTTATCCGCAGTGATCTTTCTTGCGCGAGAACGTCTTAAGAAGAAACGAATGGAAAATATTTGAATCGTATTTGAACCAGAAATCAGCGAGAAGTCGCCAAAGATTTGACAGGCTGCATTTAGACTTACCACTCATCACCCACGGCAATTTGGAGAATAATTTCCAAATTTGAATACGAAAGAAAATAAAAAGAACTATTTTATATTGATTTTATTTTAGATACATTCGAGTCTCAAAATTTATTATTTATTCCAAAAATATCGCGTGTTCATTTTTCCCCTTTCGACTTTGAATTTCGGCGGTCGGTCGACAAGAAGGAGTTGGAAATGTGTCCCTAAGCATACAACAAAATACCATATGTCTAATAAAATGATTAAAGATTAATTTAATAAAATTAAACGAAAAGTGTCGAACTTACCTTAAAATGCTTTCTAATTAATAAATATTTAAATACAGTAGAACCTCCATTATCCGGACCTCCAATATCCGGATTTTCGATTATCCGGATTGTTCAAAATGAACAAAAATTTTACGAATTTGCTGATTTGTACGGTTTAAATACAGTATTTACTTTTAATATTACCGATATGCACCATACAAAATAAAACGTGTTGTATTATCATTAAAAGACAAATTAAAGTATTTTTTCGATTATCCGGATTTTTCCTTATCCGGACTACCTTCATCCCCAATTAGTCCGGATAATAGAGGTTCTACTGTAATTTGAAATGTTTTGGATAGAAACCTTATACATATGAAATTTTGAATTTTACAGTGGTTAATATCAATATCAATGATAAGCAGGCCTAAATCGGATGCCATTCTTGTGATTAAACATATAAAACAAATAAAAATTTAATATTCAAACTGTAAAACCCTTAAATTCTAATGCAAAAACATGAAAATTTCACCATTTTCAGGGCATAATCTATTTCTTGCCGGCTCATAAATGTTATCTCCAGTGCTGAAAATTCTTTCACTTTCAATGGAAGATGCTGGGGCACTTAAAATATTTCATAGCTAGTTTGCTCACATTAGGAAAAAGTTCTTTTGGACTTCACCACAAAAATGGGTCACTATGTCTTTGTTTAAGGGGTAAATGTAAATATGTTTCTAATTCTTGATCGAAATGTTTGTTCGTTTTTTTCGCTTTTTCTTTCTTTTTAAAAACATGCTCTTCTTCATTTTTTCGTTTACCAGAAGCTAATTCATCAAATAAATTAGAAAAACCTTAGAGATTCTCCTCCATCTTCATCATCTCCAGAGGTAGAACCGATATCATTAAAATATTTCTGCAGATGGTCATCGGATTCGATCCCGAATGGCCAAAAAAAATTGGGTCGCTGTCTTGCCTGCCTCCAACATCCGATCGAACGAAGAAATTACAGTAGAGCGCCGATTATCCGAAAGTCAATCATCTGAAAGAATTCCAGTCGGTAAATTTAAATTTTCGCCAATGATATGGCGCTGCAATCTTTGGCTATGTCTTGGGCTACTCAAATATTTTACGTTTTTGATACAAAATTAACTTCTGAAGTATAATTTTTTATTGTTTTTATATTTTTCAATATATTTATTTTGTTCGTACAAAATAAAAAAAAATCATTTTTCACGANGGCAATTAGTACATGTTGAGTATGAGAACTATTTATAAATAATTGGACTGAATAAATAATTGGTTTGAAAGCGAAGAGTCAATTGGATATTTAAAAAGAAATTCAATTTATATTTTCATAATTTCATATGGGTATTTTCGGTCAAAGTGTTACATCTGGTGAGATTAATATTGTAGACTCTTGAGTTGATAGAGTTGGTATTATTGGTTATACGGATAGATAAATACTCCAATAAAATTTAATTGGATTGGTTATCCATCCGTATAATCATTCCAATCGATTCTAAAACAATTCTAAATATATATTCTAAAATAAAAATTAATACAGAAATAATGTATTGAAATTGAATATGTGATTTATAAGTTTGTTGTTTAGTTCTTTTACGTGAATTAAGAGATGTGTGAATGATTTAACAGTAAATGCTTTATTCAGTTTTGAATTTTTAATTATACACTATAATAGCACGATTCAATATGTTTTAAAAATAAAAAGAAAATGATAAGTTTTTTTAACTGGCTATAAACATTATTTAAACTTATTTCTGTATATAGACTACGCTATTAATAATAATCCATAAATGATATATATACTGTATATTATATCATTTATGGATTATTATTAATAGCGTAGTCTATTAATAATAATCCATAAATGATATAATATACAGTATATATACTGTATTACTTTATTATTTATGTTTTTACGTTTTATTTTATTTATGAAAACATTTTTTTAATTTAAATACAATGCTACGTAGTCTATTGTTACGTAGAATTAGAGATATTATGACTTTTGTGAAGGTACTCCGACAGTCTTTCTTGGTTACTNTTTTTCTCATTTTTTCGTTAAGGCGTGAAATATTATTTTGTACCGTAAATGGTACTTGAAATATTATAATGTACTGAAAATGTACTAAAAATCTAAACGTACTTTCAACTTAATGGAAAGGGCAAAATGTACCAGAAAAGTACAAATGTACTAGGAACGGCAACACTGATATTGGAGAAGCCCAAGATAAAGTCGACCCCCCTATAACAGTGTTGATTGTTCCGTTTTATATGAATTCCATGTTGTACAAGTCACTTAGATTCTACAAATACGTGTGCCGGGCTGTGAACAGCTCGCGTATTTGTAAAATCTAAGTGACTCGTACAACATGGAATTCATATAAAACGGAATAATCAACAGTGTTATAGGGGGTCGACTTTATAGCCAAAGATTGCAGCGCCACAGCACTAGCGAAAATTTAAATTTGCCAACTGGAATTCTTTCGGATAACCGACGTTTCGGATAACCGACTTTCGGTTAAACGACGCTCTACTGTATTTAGTTACTACTAGTATATGTTAATCGAACTTTATTAAAGTTTTAATACTTTAACAGAGGATTTCGAACTCGTATGTATGCCAATTTGAATTCTTTTAAATAACAATATATTCTCTCACTGTATTTCAGAGATCTTTGTTTGGCTGAAAATTTTTTATGAGATTTAATTAATATTCGCGAGATTTGCTAATTTTTTCACTTATTTTAATCGCTGTTGGCTTTTCTCCATACCATCGAGAATTCAGCTAACTGCCCGTGTGACTGCGGAGAGCGACAGAACCCGTTCTATACAGAATCCATTAGGGTTTCTCAAATGGGATTCCGGGATCCCGGTTGTTTTTTTAACCCGGGAAATTTTTCTTATTCCGGGAAATCCCTCAAATTTCTTAAAAATTCCCTTTTTTCTTATTTTGTGTTAAGGTTGAGGAATTTTGCAAATAGAAAGCATAATTAACTCATTCACTGTCAGAATACATTTGTATTTATTAATTTTAAACCTACCTATTGGTTGTTTTTTAATTTTTGCTCGTTATGGCATGTCATAAATGATCAATAATCAATACGTAGCTTATTTGTGGCAGGACTCTGAAAATTCTTTACTTGTCGGAACCTGTAATATATGGAATAATTGCGCTTAAATTGTCTTAATTTTTATCCATGCTTCGATAACTGCATTATGCCAGGTTATGCAAATTGGGCGAGGTACAAGTACGAAGTCTGCAAGTATGAAGTTTTTCTTCATAAACCCGATTATTAAAGTCAAACGAATTGCCAAATTATCGATCTATAAGCTCGATGCCGCAATTAAAACAGCCGAGATAGACAAATCAAGAATACTAGAGAGCAAAAGAAGTACTACAATCTCGAAAACGAACTAGAAATCATTCAGGCTACGGATGAAAAAACACATAATATCTGTCTTCTGTCAAATGCATTAATTAAACACTATTCCAATCACATCAATTGAATCGGAAAGGGCATTCTCGGTAGCGAGATTTTCATTACTAAAATAAGAATTAGAGTGAGTTATCGGAGTATCGACCATCTTTGCTTTTTAAAATCTTATAAAAGTTTACAATATTTTGTATCATATTTTATTTAAAAAACGAAAATTACTTTCTAAGTTAGAAGTTTGATCTAAGTTTTTTTTTATTTAATTTTTAACTCAATTCAAATCATTTTGTTGTTGTTGTTGTTGTTGTTGTTGTATGCATTTTCCAGCAAACTTTAATAAATTTTTTTCTATTTGTGAAAAATTCTACGTAATTCAAAAGTAATTTTTATTATATATCTTACACAGCATTATTTATATGGTTTTGGAGGTTGCNTAGTATATATCTTACATAGCATTATTAATATGATTTTGGAGGTTGCATAACGTAACGTATTAAATTACTTTAAAAAATGAAAAATAATTATAACATTTGATTTCAAGATATTTTGTATACCTTAAAAATAATTAATTCTATCTCGGGATTTTCCGGATCCCAGGAAACAGTTCTTTTATCCCGGGACAAGCAAAAGACCGGAATATGAGAAACCCTAGAACCGATATTATTAAAACATTTCTGCAGTTGGTCATCGGATTCAGTCCCGAATGGCCAAAAAAGCCCGCCTCCAACAAACGATCGAACGTAGAAATTAATATGAAAATCTAATAACTTTTCTTAGAATTCTGAAATCTAATGTAGATCCTATGCATTTACAATTTCTTTTCAATGTTTTAAAGTTATAATTCCGTATTCGGTGGTAAAAATCGATTTTTTGGACATTATATTGTCTTTTCTATTTACTTTAGCATTTATGTTTACTTTATGTTGATTAAATTTTCAAGGAAATACAATTTAATTTAGGACACTGTCGCTTATCACGCATCGAAACATATTGGTAAAGGTACAACTCATTACAAGCCTTCGAGAGTAAAAATTTATTATAAATAATTCGGTAAGTTACAATGTATTATAAATGCACTACTGCATATAAGTTTTCTTTGAGAATAAAATAACAATTTTTATGTAGAACTAACTACAATTTAAGTTATATTAATCTTAGTAAAGAATTTATGTTAGTTAATCTTAATATTACACTTTGCAAAGGGCATTTGTTAATATTTTAAGTAGGCGAGTAATGTCTCAGTCTACCGCTCTGGGGGAACCGGGATCGAGTTGCAGCGAGCAATTCCAAGAATATTTTTTCCATCGCTACCCGACTAGCCCATTGTAAATCTAACAGAACACAGGACGAATATAATTTCAAGCAAGTCCCTTCTTAAAAAGCCTGTGGAGCGAAAACAAAGTAATAATTGAATAAATGAATAAATACTTTTAGCGAGATGAAAGATAAACTTGCAGTTACTCAAGAATTATTCTTAATTTATAAATAACTGATTACAAAGAATCGGTAACAGAACATTAGGCAAGATAGATACGTGCTAAATAATTGAAAAATTTGAGCAAATCAATGCAATATTTTGTATCGTGGCTACCACACGCTAGTTACAGGCACATTGTTTTATTACGAGCAATTACCCAACGTAAATTCAATACAAAAATGGTCAAACAAGAGTCATCTTAGTAAAATAAGTAATAGAAGCGCTGCATGCCGAGTCCATTTTCAAGCAACATTTTTTCTGAAGGAGTTAACAAGTTTGAGCATTCACCAATAAAGGCAGACTAAACTGAAAGTAATGTTCAAGTAATATCCCTAATATTATCGTAAACATTTTATAACTATTTTGCGTTCAATTATTAAGTCATCTCAACGCACATGAAAATAAATTAATAGATATTAATTAATAATTAATATTTTACTTTCAGATACAAAATAATATTTGAGGGTCGAAGAAGTGTTTTTAGGTAATCGCATCGCTTGTTTATTCACGGATTTCACTACTTATACTGTACTTTAAATTTCACCAAAAATTTTTCTATTTAGATTACGAGACTTGACAGAGAACAATATGAATTCTTTAATTCAATTGACCAGAATCAAGAAGTATACAGACGAACAACAACTTCCACTTTCCACCTACAAAAACCGATGGAAGTCATTGGCCTTGTCCATGAAATTCCTTGGTTTGAAATTCGAGAAAAGATTCACTCCGCACATTATTTTCATGTTGATAGCAGAAAAAATATTTACAATTTTCTTCATCTACGAAAATATCATAATATTAACAAGTACTTCTTCGCGAGTTCATTGGATCATATTTATATACTTTGTTTTCTTTCATTTCGTAAATATTTTTTCTCTGTATTACTTTCACATGAAGAAGAAGAAAATTACGGCGAATTTAAATAATTTGTATAAAGTTTCTGGCATTAGCAGCGAGACATGCACCAAGTCCAGATCAATGCTGATTAAAGTCTGTTTAGTTTGGTTGAATAGCATCGTCTACAATGTCGTGGCTTATCTCAATATCGCCAATAAAAAATTTCAATTAGTTACTATTAATGAGATATTTAATATAAACTCAGATGATTATAGAGCAGATATCATTACGTTTGGTTTATGTTTCTTCGGTAACTTTGTCATCGCAAATCAGTTCCATTTTTTGTTACTTTATTTCTGTTCCATATGCAAAGATTTTGAGTATTCTTTCGTATTAATTCGTAAAAAGATTGCCGAGAAGCGCACTCCGAAACAAATTAACGAGGCATCTTTCAAGTATATGCAGATATCGGCCATGGTAAATGAAATAGAAAGTATTTACTCTCCTATTTTATTTCTGTGGTCTGCTTTCGTTGTTGGAAATGTCGTATTTATGATTGGTAGTTACTTACAGAGGATGAAGTCCTCTATCAACATGACGGATATAATAACTTTCTTCTGTTGTACAGGATTTCAATTGTTATTGTTTTGTAACGTTTGTTTGTCTTCGTCGAATATGAACAGAGAGGCCAAGAAGTTCGCGATGTCTCTTTACAAGTTGTCACTTTTTATCAACGATCCATCCATTCAGCAATTTGCCTTTCAGTTTTCTGTAGAAATTTTGCAAGATTTGCCTAATTTTTCTGCATGGAATATGTTTTGCATCGATAATAATCTCACAATGACAATTTTTAGTGCCGTTGTCACTTACGGTCTCGTCATGTATCAATTTTCAAGCAAGGAATAGTAAAAAGGAAGTCGCATAATCGTGGACACGCATATCGACTCTCATCCTTCCTCCTTTCTGTCTATGAAGTTGCTGAGAAAATATTGAAATGAAGCAAAAGTCTTCTTTGCTATTAGAATTTATTGCAAATAAATGTAATTTAGAACGTTAAGAAGCACCCGCGAAAAAATAAATCAATTGAAATTCCCAGTAACCATGATAAAAATTTTCGAAAAAAAATGTATTATTTTGATTATAAAATTCAAATAAATATTTGTTGCTTAAACTTTTCTGTTTGGTTTGTTTATTACAACGCGACGCTTTGGCGATCTGCCGAGAAGGGAATGCTTCCCGAAAAGTCTTTCTTGGAAAACTGGCCCCTATTTAAATATTACTAATATGGAAAACATCCGAAAAATTCCGTGTGGCTGGTCTCTTAGACAGGTCCGACCCTACGACCAATTACCAGTGTTTGGTGGTTTTACCAACTCGGTCGCTGATGGAACTTGAAGTATTTCAAATATTTCATTGTCGTAGTATTATTATTTTTTACTCTTCTTGTTTTTAGAGAATAATTCACTCTTTTTCAGCCCACAACTGAGCGGCCGTAATGAGGAACGGGGCCCGACATATTCTGGACAGAATAAACAAATGTATCCTGTTAAATTAACATGCCTCAATGTCCTTAATTTATTATAATCTTATTTCGTCCACTAGTACGTATCTATTAACAAGACTTTATATGTATAAAATATAATATAGAATATGTATATAATGTAGAACGTCTAGTCTTTGCGCCCTTTGTTGGCTAATATATTCCCCTTTGGAATGTACGAATAGAAAACAGTCAATTAGATAGAGAGACCACGGACGTACCTCGACAACAAAGTTTAAAAGTAACTGTCCTGTCACCTGTTTAAAAAAAATTAATATTTTTATAAAATATTTCGTTGTATTGTACTTAACTTTTAAATTCAAAAGTTATTGTTGAATTTTCGACAGTATTTTTTAAACTCAAAATAATTATTTAAAACAATTGAGTCGGATTATTTATCCAATTCTTACTTAATTGCAAAGAAAGATTGATTTTTCGTGTATTTTTCTACAATATAATTAAGAATTGAGTATTTTTTTAAAACTCTTTCTGCCCTGTGAACACTAAGAGGGCTTGTTTTAGCAAGCCCATTATAAGATCGACCAGACCCACAATGGGGCGGCCGGGTAGTGAGGAACGGAGCCGTCCGGATTCGATGACGGATCTCCACCTTGACCGCTCGGCCATCCGACCACATACAGTCGACCCCCCTATAACACTGTTGATTGTTCCGTTTTATATGAATTCATATAAAACGGAATTCATATAAAACGTTGGAATTCATATAAAACGGAATGATCAAGTGTTACAGGGGGATCGACTGTATAGTATTTTATGAAATTTGATTGTCAGTTGAATCATGTCGCTCTCCGTGAAAAAGGGACAGGATCTATTCCCACAAAGCCAATTTTAAATTATTTCAGAAAAATAATAAATCTAGGTTAACACGTCATGTATATAAAAAAAAGCTATAAAATTTAAATTTTTTAAAGCATATACTCTGTATTTTAATATAAAATGTAGAAGACCAGTGCAGTAATAGACGGTTGTTCATAAAGACAGATAAGTCCACAACATATAGGAACCCGGTTAAAGACAGACCTTATGAAAAAATTTTCATGTGGGCACAGTGATCCTATCCCGAATTCTCCAGACAATGGGTATATTACCTTAACCACTTCGAACATCAACCGAGTGTAGAAATTAATAAAAAATTCTGAAAACTTTTCTTTGAATTTTCTAATGGATTTCTAATGTAAATCTTATCCATTTACAATTTTCTTTTCAATATTGAAAAGTTATAATTTAGTATTCGATCGTAAAAATCGATTTTTTTGAAAATTACGCTGTTTTGTGTATTTAGTTTACTGTCGTGTTTACCAACAAGTTAGAATATACTGTGACCATTGTTACAGCGCTCTTGGTGGCAACGACGGGTACTATCGACCGCCATTTTACTTTCAGTCAAAACATTGACATCTGTACCACGTGTTAGTAGGATTGTCGCTTTAGATTCTATTTTTCTCATCTAAATCGAGATTGTTTCCTTTGCCCCAATATTTGAGATTTAGGCGATTAGATAAATGATACAAATCTGGACTGTTTCATCTCGAATTTAAAATAATTAAATAAAATCTAGAAAACAGCTAAAGAAGACAAGTTTAAAGTGGTAAGTGTAGTACCTAACATTTTTATAATCGAAGTACGAGCCGGGTCTTTATATGGCTGAGAGTAAAGCCCTTCATTGTCTGTTGAAGAGGCACAGTTTCTCTGCCGAAAAATCCTACCGTGGTTACAAATGAATATTTAACGTTCATCAGTCTCTGAGTGAGTTCTCGATAGTGTGTGATAAGTCCTAAAAAGTGCTAGTTATAGTGCTCAGATAATAAATAATAGTAGGACACAAAGCATAATATTAATTCGCGGCAATAAGTAGCTAATAATTGTGGGAAATGAAAGAAGTACTGAATTAGCTCATCAAAAATAGACGAAAGAAAACAAGCAAGTGAAAGAAACAGTCTCTGTTTCTTTCACTTACTGGCTTGTTTCTTATATGTAGAAACTGCACCATTAGGACGTGTACAAATTGTGCATTATATCCATCAATCTCGATAACAAAAGTATATTAATAAGAAGTAACCTTTTGTTCTTTATGTTATAGACAACAACCTTAGACACTGAAGCGGTGAGCCTGAAGAGGTATTGGAGAATTACCAATCCGAAATGCATTGTTAAAAAGGCGAAATAAAGTGGTGTTTTAATCTTGGTCTCTGTTAATTACGGATAATTCAGAAAGACTTGATAAATACCACCAGTCTCACTATTAGAAGCAGCAACCTTTACTTACAACTTTTTATATTTTTAATTATTATCGAATGACAAAAAGCTTAATTTCGAGGACAGTGACAAGTTTTAAAAAAATTGTAAACGTTAATAGGTAATAATATCTTCATTAAGTCCTACCTCTCTCGAGATATGACACATGCCAACTCTCTCTCCCCATTCCTTTAGTTAAGGATTAAAACTCTTCCTTTCTATTAAAAAATTGGAGCTTAGAGCATCGTGATAGAATATCTTAAAATGAGCTTTGCGTTCGTTTTAGTTTCCCAGACTACACCCAACAGCAGTGCGCTGTGACTCGGTTATTATTGTATAAAAGGCACCACGGGCTTATTACAGGGGCATTGTTTTATTGCATATACTGGTCATTGTAAATTGAGTAATTAAAAAAATAGTCGCACAATCGTCATCACAATAATATAACTCGAAGCCGTTTTTCTTGGAGGAATTAAGAAGTTTCAGCATTGGCGAAAAGCAATGAGAATATTGCAAATAATGTTGTGACAATACTATTGCAATTGTCAAAATTGTTTAACTACATTGATTATAATTATTGAGTCATCTCCATGCATATCGAAAGAAACTTAAATTTTTAGATACAAAATAAGATTAATATATAATAGATGACGAATNAAGAAAATGTTTAAACACCTTTTAATACAAAAGCAAAAAACTTTTTTTTGTTGTTTTTTTTTTAATACTTTTACTTTAAAATACTGGCAATTTCATGAATCTATTCTTAATGTTAAACAGTTTCCACGTGAAATATGACATTTTTCTCCTTTGTAATATGTTTTTAAAAAAGAAACTTGTGTCCTTCCTTTCTTTCCAGTAATCCAAACAAAATGGCTGCAAAGTGTGTCCTGATAAATAGTATACTGCACACCGCTTATAATTTAATTTAAAATTCTGTCCGGTTTCTAGTATCCCAGTAAATATACAGAATAATTTAACACCATTACAATTTGTTTCCTCCTTACAAATTTGGGTGATCGATGACTAATTCTATACCAAGTAGAAATTTCAATTCCTGTTGATATTGCGTAAAGTATAATTATATATATGTATATACTGTATATTATATATTTATATATACAATTTTTTTTATGTACAAAATTGTTCTTAGTCGCCGTCTCTGTGTTTCTACTTTCCTACAGAAGATTTGCCTTACAAAAGGAAAACTGTATAGCTACAGAAGAATATAAATACTTTTTCAATCAAGAAGTTTACAGACGAAGAAGAAATTCAACTTTCCACCTACGGAAACCGATGGAAATCATTGGCCATGTCCATGAAATTCCTTGGTTTGAAGTTAGAAAAGAGATTCACCCCACATATTATTTTCATGTTAATAGCAGCAAAAATATTTGCAATCTATTTCATCTACAAAAATATTATATTATTGACAAATTATTCTTCTTCGTTAGTTAATTGGATGATATTTGCATATTATCTTTTCCGTCTTTCCATAAATGTGTTCCTTCTGTATCACTTTCATCTGAATAAGAAAAAAATTATGTCGAAATTAAATGATTTGTATGAAGTTTCTGGTATAAGCAGAGAGATTTCCAACAAGTCCAGATCAATGTTAATTAAGGTCTGTATCATTTGGTTCAGCAGTATCGTTACCAATATCGTGAATTACCTCATTATCACTAAGAAGAAATTTAAGTTTAATAGCACTAAACAGATTTTTCACACAAACTTCGATGATTATAGAGGGGATATCATTGAATTTCTACCACATTTCGTTTCCAGCGTTACTATTACTCTTCAGTTCTATTTTTTACTACTTCATTTCTCTTCCATATGCAAAGATTTTGAGTATTCTTTCCTGTTAGTTCGTAAAAAACTGATTGATAATTGCAATCCGAAAGAAATCAAAGCAGCATCATTTAAATATATGCAAATATCGGGCATAATAAATGATATAGAAAATATTTACTCTCCCGTGTTATTTCTGTGGTCGACTTTGATCGTTGGAAATGTCATATTTAGCATTGGTCATCATTTACAGAACGTTATGTCTTTTACCTTGTCCGACATGATAATATTATTCTATTTTTATGGTGTTCAATTTTTATTGTTTTCTGATATTTGTTTCTCTTCGTCGAATATGAACAGAGAGGCCAAAACGTTCGCAATGTCTCTTTACAAGTCCTCACTTTCTATCGACAATCAAACCATTCAGCAATTTGCCTTTCGAGTTTCTATAGAAATTTTGCAAGATTTGCCTAATTTTTCTGCTTGGAATATGTTTTACATCGATAATAATCTCACAATGACAATTTTTAGTGCCGTTGTCACTTACAGTCTCATTATGTATCAATTCTCAAAAAAAGAATAATGAAAAGGACTCACATAATCAAGGACGATCCTCACCGTTCATCTTTGCCAAGAAAATACTGTATTCAAACGAAAAAAACATGCTTATTTGTTATCACAATTTATTGCACATATATGTAATTTCGAACGTTAAAAAATGACCCACGAAGTAAATAAATCAATCTAAACTCACTGTAACCATTATAAAAGTTTTGGAGAATATATTGTATTATTTTGATGTTAAAGGCCATATTGCAAAATTCAAATAAATGTTCATTAATTCAAATATTTCTATTCCTGTATTTCTATTTCTATGTAATTCTATTTCTATTCCTGTCGTATTTCTTGTTTATTCTTTCTACCTTATAGTCCCTAAGTGGGCCTTTTTATTGGCCCACAATTTGGAAATCGCGATAATACGGCGTCCAACGTATTCCGGACAGAATACAAAAAATTTCCTAATGTTCTCTGCCCGAGCTACAGGCTGAGGCCTGTACAATCTCGAATATCCGTTCGGCTAATAATCAATTAAAATGAACAAGTTGCCCCGTTTGTTTACTTATTGATCCACACTTACATTAACTTCGATGCAACAACATAGGATCCTTCCTATTAAAATAAAATCTCAATTTGTGCTCTGAGTGTTAATTGGAGTAATGGAATAATGAAACGCAACACTTGGTTGACCCGCCACGAGAGGAGTGCCTCCCTGAAGGAATTTCTATAGAAACCGACCCGTTTTGGTATTATGCACGTGAAGAAAACCTGAAAACTCGCAGCTCTATCGGTTTTATTCAGTCTCCAACAGACCTTTTTATTTTTCCACTTAAATTAAAGACCTCTCTGCTAGTTTGTTGACTCGCGCTACTTATAAAATCGAACACAATAAATCTTTACAAACAAATGACGTAACGCGTCTCGACGAAAGCAGCACTAGATTTATGGACATAGAAAATGGATATTTTATCTGACGTATTTACTTTAATAAATATTCGACAATACCGATCGTACTGTTCGTTCGATTGGTTGGGTCGATGCACGCGTTTATCATTTTGGCAGTTATCTGTCTAATTTTACGAGCCATTTTTAAAAAATTGACGTCATACTGACGTAAAAAGCACTATCTTAACAAACAGATCGTTAGCCAAAGATGGCGGCCGAACAGGATGAAATATTCTTCGGACAGATATCAAGTACGACGTTACGACAGAGATAAAGTCGATTCGGATGTTATAAAACTGTGTGAATTTCCTTAACGTTCTGTTAATTTATCATATTTGAGATACAATGGAAGAACTCCTAGGAAATTTTTAAAATAATGATAAACCCTACAACAAAATTTATGACACTGATCGAGTGTAAATGGCTAAATTCGTGTCTTCCAAGGCCTGTAAATTTTTCTAAAAACTATTACATTCTGCAACACGATTTATCTATATGAAATATAGTCGAACGTTCGATAACGGGCGCCTGTAAACAACGGCCATTGTTCAGAGGTTTGACCGTATATTAATTAAAATTAGATTTAACACAAAATTCCAGTCAGAAAACGTTCGAGTATTCACGACAGTTCGTCTTTTCAACGATGTAAACGACCGGTAAATTTACCAACGACGATTGACGTCATTTATCGCTCTGCAGAAATTGAAGTACAGTACGTAATACTTACTGGCGTCATTCAATTCGAAAACAGCTACGTGACGTCACAAATGCCAGATATATTTATCCACTGTAAAATTACCATAAACGAATTCATTTTTAAAAACTTAAACTCAGTAAATTTGCAATAAATTTAATTAATTCTTAAAAGAAATTAATGTAATTTTTTAAAATAATTATTCAAATAATTAAAACTTGTAAATATTTAATTTCATTTCTTAATATTTCTGAAAACTGTACATGGATATACAAACAAACATTTTTCAAATTGGTTTTTTTAAACTATAAAAAAAATATTAATAATANATATATATAGATATACTGTACTTAACTGTTTCTAATAATAGACCTAGTTAAATGGCATGCGTTTTACCCAAATGATTGTCCTTTCGAGCGGCACGTTGCGGTAAAATGCGAACGTGCTTGCGCTTTGTGGACGTGTGCGGGCAATTGTATTGGTCCGACGCATACAAACTTTCTCGACAATTTATGAAAGCGAGTACAACTTAACGCAATTTGGATCTTTACAAAATGTCGCAAAATTGTGGCGCAGTTTTGGTTTATGGTACAGAATGGCAGAAGGATAGTAACCTGGTCCAAATATCTTAACCCAGTAGAAGAAATGGGATGCAGTATTTAGAATATAAAACATTCTTAAAGGGATCAAAAAATTTAATGAGAATGAGATAGAGAAATGTCTTGAATTTATTTCACAGTTCTAAAAAAATAGTGTGTTTCGAATTGCAAATTAATTCGAATCGTTCGGAATGAGATGATTTTATGAGAATGGAAGTTACGAATAGTTTCTATTAATTTGGGAAAGCCTCGAAAGAGAATTTCGATGGAAAGAACATCTCACGAGCACTATACTAATTGCACACTGCTGACTATTTTCGTTACAGATACAGTACATAATTAAGATACATCTTATTTCTTTTATTTTATCACAGCTACTTTTCGTATCAGGGTATATTATCTTGTCTTATACCTTCTCCCGCTTCCATGACAAGAGCTACCTCTTTATTGCGATGTTCCATGGCGGGACCACCATTTATTCTCTGACGACAGTTTGGCGATGTTCCACCACTGACCAATCCGGTTTTCGGGCTTTCCTTTCCTTCCTTCTGCATGCCGCAACATGTTTGGGCAGTACAATTCATACTAGAAGGGCAATCCAGTACACAATCTTCTTTATCTTGTTGCTAAAATTTAAAAACAAAGTTAATAATTATAATAATTTATATATGTCATTTTAATATTTGTGCTTAAGAGTAGAAAATTATTAAATTATTTTAGTTTAACAGCTGCAAGACAGTGTAAAAATTGAATGCTGGGAATTAATAACAATCATGTTATAGTTAGAGAAGTTAATTTAATACGCATTTGATTTACAAAATGTTCTGCACTAACATCCATTTGTTTTCTTGAGGAAACTGATTTACATCTTTAAGATCACTCTTTATTCAGGAATATCTTACACAGTTGAATAAAGAGTGATGTTAAAGATGCCCAGTGTCTACCTATGGACTCAGTTGTGAAGTAAAGAATAAAAGAATTCTCTATTTAATGTTTGTGGGAAAAACCTACTCATGAGTATTCAGTGGTGCTTTACAGGAATAACACTGTTTAGGAGGGCACTATATAAAGATTTAACTGTATTTCTTGTTAATTTACATTCTTAAAAACCAAGATGCACATTAAAATCTTATTACTTTCAAATAAATTTAGCAAAATTGAAATACAAGATAAATTGCATGTTTATGAAAATAAATTCAACAGTAAGAGGTGAGTTATAAACTGCACTTTAACAGTATTTGCATCCATGTTTGTAACACTGGTACATATCTATAGCAGCAGTTATAAAATACCATAAGCCTTATCTGTATCAAATAAAACCTTTTTCATAGCATACAAGGCAGTCACCACAGATCAGATGTGCTTTCTTGATGTAAATCAGAGGAAATATAACAAGCTGATGCTGCCAGATCTAACACAATTAGTTATTCATTTTCTTTATGACCAAAGTAGCTCTTACCTTAAAATTTTATATTGCTCAGAAGTAATACAAGTTAATCAAAGGTTACTTTTGACCCATTATTTTTTGTCTGTTGCTTCCAGCTTTTGATTGTATTGACTAAAGCAAATTGGTGCGTGCAAAGTTCACTAATTCTCCAAATTCATACTATAAAAATTTGATGGATCCAAAATATTTTTCTTACAGAATGCTGTAATTCTATTTTTTCTTACAGTCATAAAAATGTAATACAGAATTTATAACCTCACTATATGGATATAATAAGGTTATTTTATGGAATTTATGACCCAATCAGAACTTCTCTACTGGTATATAAGAAAAACTAATGATAAAATAAATATAACTCTAAGAAGTTATTTCCTAATATACAAAAGGATTAATATTCTTTTATATATTTGTAATTTATAATACAATCACATAAGTAAAGTCTTACTTCGGCTGCAAGATCGGCAAATTCGGGTTGAATGGTGGTCGAATGTATTCCTTCATTATGGAAGAATTCTTTCACTTTTTCTGCTATTTTCATGTAATCAGTTAAATTTCTGCAACGTATATGAGCCGAAGCGATGATCCTTTCACCTGCCAACTGCCACACGTGAAATTCATGAACAGCCAGCACACCATCAATCTATATTGGAAACAATACTTAAACATGTAAAACTAAAATTTAATGTTTATTTATTAAATTACTGAATTTGCATTAAAAATAAGCCACACAACAATTTTAGACACTTCCAGAAAAATAGTTTGTGGCTTGTTATATATAAGCCATACACGAATACAATTGACTTGCACATGCATCAGCAGTCCAGATGTAATGTTGTCCTCAAATGCAAATTATGCAAATTTCTGCATGTTAATTTCATTAATGATTTTCGTCTTCTGTTTATCTATGTGGTGTGGCACAATGGATTTAGCAGAAGTTAAGCATAAACATTTTTCTTACACAGCTACAGACAAGAAAAAGGTCATCTTTGCTGTGAGAAATTGTAAATAGGGCAGATGCAAAACAATTTGGACTTGAAAGTCAAATTCATAGACAGAGTAAGTTTGAAGCTGACATTAATTCAAACCTGATGCAAATCACAGAGCTACCCAAAAAATGCCATTAACTAGAAATAGATGACAGCCTACTTTTGGGTCATGTGAGAGAATCAGAGTAATATCTAGCAAACACAATGATGGTTTATAATAAGTGCCAGAATTAACTTTAAAGCACATGAAGTTGTCCAGCACGTAGATATTCCCTACGAAATATTCCAAGCAAGAAGCTGGGTAAATAAATTTAGGAAGAGACAAGGGTTTTCACTATGATGATGCACTTCTGTTGCACAGAAACTTCTAACAAACTTTGAGAATAAGCTTGTATATTTCCAGAGATATATGATTGATCTCCATTAAGGGACAACTTTTTGATGAGGAGGATCAATATCATCAATGAGATTCCAATTTGATTCAGTATGCCAAGCAATCATACAATAGATGACATTAGCAAAAAAGAATAAGAGTACACATTATAAGAAACACCAGATCATAGTCATGCTGGCAGAGACAGAAACCACTATCTTATATTCAAGAAGAAAAATGTATAAAAAGAGAAAGATGGAGACAGATTCTTATGGGGGTATTATTCAAATACGAGAGAAGAGATAAATAACAATATTTGATGATAGACTGATTACAGACAGTTTGAAGAAGACATCCTGAAACTTTTTGGTCTTCCTTTCCAGTAATACTTGTGTTAGATGCATTCAGAGGGCACCTTACTGGCAAGGCTAAACATGAAATTAGGAAACAAAGGACCAAACTGGAAGTGATCCCATGGGGATGGCATCAGTATTATAGCTATTTGATGTCAGTATCAATAAACCATTAAAAGCCAACGAGATGGAGTATGAGACGTCAGTACATGCCCTTCCATCCACATCCTCAGAAAAAATTTGGCCAGTCTCTGACTCAACTGTTACAAAATGGATCAAGTGAAAGAATCTATATATATTCATTAAGTCATTCAACAATGTGAAAACAATATTTTGTATACTTTGGTGTTGATGATTAAGATGACAAAAGATAATAACAATGAAGTGTCTTCTTCCTAATTGGAACATACTATTAACACCTCTGATTCTGAGTACAGCCCAAATGTAAGTGTCTTGCTGAAATTTAGTGGAATACAGTAACATTAATTTATACTGTAGCAATATATATACCACATTTACTGTATATTGATGCAAATTGCTTAAATAAAAATAAAACATTTGCAGTTCTTTTCACTTTTTGACCCTTTCTACCCCATAAGCACTAAAGGTACTATGCATTATAGATTCAGCCAACCCACAATGGGTTAATGTGATAAACATCAATAATATCCACATGGATACATACCAACAAATTTGTGTTTTCTGTCTTTGCTTCTGAAAATAAGCAGTAGCCCAACTTCAAATCCTTAAAATTAGCATTAAAAAAAAAAAGTGTGGCTTATTTTCATGTAAATATGTTAATAACTTACATCTTGCAGAAGTTTTTTCTGAAGAGAGTCCACCTGAATATGAGTTGGAACAGTCTGCAGCAAAATTAAGGCAGATTCAACCACTAAACAAAAAATAAATAGGTAAATAAGTTTTACTTTACTTAATAAAATAGACAAAATTGTGAATTTGTAAAACAGGCAATTAATGTATCAATTTTATGATTTTAGAATATTCCTACCAAACTCACAAAATTAGCAATAGTGTCAAGTGACACTATTACAGCTTTATAATAAATTTATGACTATATCTATTTTGGCAAATTTCATTTTCATTTACCATTATTTTGGTGTTTCTAATTTTGAAGTTTTTGCTGCAAGAATATAGAATGTTTTTTTTTTTCTTATATTATACAGTGTGATCTGCTTATATTATTACTGGCAAATAACTCAAGAACTATGCATTCTATAAAAAAAATTACATACTCAAAAGGGGTCATAAGATGGCACTACCAGTTTTGTTGTAGACGGTATCACTATTAATGAAACTGACATTAATTTTTTAAAATAGTGGCCGATTTTTTATTGCGTATTAAGATTCTACACTATAAATAAATAAAGTTTTATCTAAGACATTTTTTTCAAAAGATGAATTTTGTCGGAAGTGATGAGAATTTGAAGTTGCAAGCATTGTTGGTTCATTATCTATGCTCTTGATATCAAGTATCTCAAAAAACTTGTGACTTATGATAAATTTTGTTTAGTCCGGGATGTCTAACCTACAGCCCACTTAACAGTTTATGCAGCCTAGTGCATCCTAAATTTTTTTTAGGTATATTTTCATTTATTTTGGTAAAGTATGTCGTAAAAATTATTCTCATTTCACTGAATACACTTTGATATCATAATGACATAATTGGTAATTGGTGTTAGAAAACTGTTATGCACTTGGGGTAGTACATACTGTTGTGAACAATACTTTTCATGCATGAAAAACATCAAAACTGCTGAAAGAAATACATTGAGTGATTCCCATTTAACTAACATTCTTATAATTAAGACTAGTACTATAAAAGCAAATATTGACAATATTATAAAAGGAGGGCAATGTCAAAAATTGCATTTAATTTTTATTTTGTGCAAGTATAATTTCTTTTTTTACTGTCAATAATACAGCCTTTTTTGTAATTATATATATTTGTTATTAAAATTTGATATTCACATTTTGAAATTTTTAAAAACATATACTGTATTTATATAAAAGCACATTTGGGCCTGCTGAATATACCTAAATTTCTAATTTGGCCCATTAGGGAAAAAAGTTAGACAACCTGATTTAGTCCAATAACATTTTAGATTACAACAAACACTGTAGAATGTTTTGAGGTCAATGGCCATCATTCTGAACACTTATTGGACTGCGTACAATTAGTATAATCTAAACATAAAACTATCACTTAGCTACTCTTATACTTAGTTGTATGATTTTTATATGCTTGGAATAGATAAACTATTAGAATATATCACTGCTTCAACTTTTCCCATTGCAAATCTATGTAACACTTTATCTGATAATACAATCAATTAACAAAACAAAGAAAGAAAAAATACTAAATTTTTACATAAAACATTTTGTATATATATCACGGAGAGAATTGTAACAGATGTAACAGTCTAATATAGTCTCACTATATAAAAAGTTCTATGTCCTTTATTAAGATAATTTGGTTCAATATTAACTGAACACATCAAAATTTATCATTATAAAATGATACTAGAGTGAACAACTGTCAGCATTCGTGTTATTTAAAATTACATATTAAATTAGAGATCATCGCATGTGTTGTGCCCCTAAGGGTAATCAATACTTACAATGCAATAAGTAGTTCACTCTTTAGCAGGTTTGTCTGTACTAACACCAAATAATGACAGCACAGCTGATATTCTGATACTAACCCTTATAGTAAACAAGTGTAAAGTTACTTAACATCTTCAATAATTCTGAGTACAAAACTATATTTTACAGTAATTATAGTGTAATCTACATCATTTAACAGAGGTTAATGTCAAAGTTGAAAAGTTTCAAAACTGAGATAAGACAATCTAAGAGCAATACTTTAATAAATGCAACCAACACAATTACAGACTGTTATATCAAGAATCATAATGCAAACAAAACACCGATTATACTTTGTATGCATAAAAGAACTCAGACGGATAAAAATTACATTCGTGCAGCAATGTTATGCAAAATCAATTAAACTGAGTATTAACATTATTAAAAACAGAATTCTTTCACTTAATCCTAGTTGTGTTGATCAAAATTTCTGCTGTTACATATAAAATTTTAAGCTAAGAGAAAGAATTGATTTAGAGTTTTATTTATTTACTTTGGAAACAATTTTGTATAATAAATTTTTTGTTCCATTGTATTTCTACAATTATATAATGCTGACACTTTTTATAAAATATCAAGAATATCACTTAAGGTAATATATGTACTGTGTTTGGTCATCTTATTAGGCTATGTATTTATTTTATCTTTTATTAAATAGAAGATAAGATTATTAATTTCTATACTTACATAATGGCCAAGTTGATCGCATGATAAGACAAACCATCACTATACTGGAATAAAATAATTTCATATAATTAAACAGAACTTAGGAACAATTTTAAAATTTAAACTAAAATTCAAGAATTTTTTCCCAAAACTCAAAAATAGCAATACATTTTCTCAAGAGTAACAATTGTTTACATACGCAGATCTTTAAATGGGGAGAGGAATTCTTCATTATTTTTAAAATTCTTTGAAATTATATTATTACATAAAAAATGAAGTTAGTACAAGTTTATCAAATTAATGTAATAGCTTAGTATTTCACAATAAAACACAATACAGGGATACCTCGCCTTACGTCGGTAATTGGTTCCAGGAGAGGCAACTTAAGTTAAAAAACAACGTAAGTCAAATTTACTTGTCACTAGGCAAAACCACAAATAACCATTCCCAGTTTTGTATTTTATTTATAAATGCATTTTTAATAATATATGGTTAATAAGAATCTATTGTAAGCTTACAAACAAATAAATTTTAGTTTTTAATATAGTATAGAAAAAAATAATCTAAATTTATGAATTCATGTATGTACAGTACATACTTGTAAATGTACATGTTTGCAATTTGGCGATGTTTACAGTACATCGCAGACTCTTTATTTGTGAATGTGGTTTGCTCTAAGACATTATAAAATGAGATGATTTTGTAAGGTTAAATAACAAATACAGTTATTAAAATTATTTTGTGACAGTAGAAAATAAACTAATTTATATTAAATTTACCAATATTGAGTGGCGCTGACAACGCCAAATGGTAGATATTGGAGCTACCGTGGAAAACACCAATATTGCACAGTTAAAGACCACTGAATAAGACATCAACACAGAAACACAGATGTTTTCATGTTTTGTTCTCTAGGATTTATGATAATTATATTAACATTTACTGTAAATGTATAAATTTTAGTATGATTTTGTGCTTTAATGCTTTTATAGTGATAATACGACTTCAATATTTGTGCCGGACGGACATAAAGTCGAATAAAATGAGTTAAACTTGATTTTTATTTTTCCATATATTTTTTGACAAACGACGTATAATTGAGAACGACGTAACTCGAGGTATACCTGTAATAATAATTTTGTACATACTATGTAAATCTAAGATTAGTAAATTTAACAAATTATTTAAATAGCTTAGTAGAGGATAACACAAAATAGAATACACTACAATAATATTTTGAAAAATGCAATAAATTAGTTATATATTTCCAAGATTTAAATTTTGTCAAATACTTATTTGTTTCAAACTTGATACAGTAAAAGAACATGTTCCCAAGTTTCATGTGTTTTGAACTATAGTTACTGCAAATTCTCTCAGTGTCTATTATTAGTCTAAGTGTTATATGTCAAAATATAATTAATTCTACAGCTGAGCTGTAGTCAAAATCTTTTTACATAATTTATGTCCATAAACAAATAATCTCACACACATAAGTTGTTTTAGAAATACAATATACAGTAGAGCATTGATTACCCGACCCCCAATTAACCGTCACATCGGTTAACCAACCATTCTAGTCGACAAATTTCAAATGTCCGCTAGTGATGTGGCGCTGCAATATTTGGCTATGTCTTGGCTACTTTAATATTATTTTTGTTAAATTTTTGCGTGTTTTAGCTGGCAACACCAACTCGACCATTGAAGGGAGGCCAGTATTTAAACGAGATTTAATTTTCTAATTATGAGTGGTTGTTTGTTTTGTGAGCAATAAAATAATTTAAAAATAATTTTTAACGATACAATAGCGACAATTATTATTTACAAAGTTGGTTAATAGTGATACACTAATATACTAATTACATGGGATATACTAATATACTATACTAATAATGTATTTTTTTCATTATTTTCAGTTATCCGATTTTTTCAGTTATCCGACCAACCTGAGTCCTCAATTGAGACGGATAATAGATGCTCTACTGTAATTGAAAATGCTTGTTCTTTTCCAACAAAGACCGATCTTCTTGTATGCTCTGTTCACAACACACTTCTATAATTAATGTTTGATAATTTTCAATCAGACGACAATCTTGGGACAACCATAGAAATGAGAAACCTAACAGATTTTTCAATGCCAATGTCCAATTATATGTATAATTATCCATCATTAAACTTAATTTATACAGTTCGTTTTACGCTCCTCTAACATAACTATTATCATGTAGTTTCAACAGTCTAATCCAAAAAGAAACTATTGCTTTTATTATTAATATCGATATTCTAGAAACACCAAACTCTGATCGCAATATATACGCTGGAATTTTATGGTATGACATAAAAATTCTTCAAAGATATAAGGCAAGAACAATTTCCATTTTATCATGATAAGTAATTGACCATACAGGAGCAGAATAAAATAGTACAGATGAAATCATTGAGTGAAATAATTTTATATAAAGATGAGCAGAATTAATTTTAACTTTTGAAAGAATATGCCACATAAAACTCAGTACCATTTTAGTCTTACAAATACTATAAATTTTGCCTGTAAAAACAGTCTAGAAGACTACAATAATACTCCCAAGTATATTTAATTCAAAATGATCTGTAAAGGCTGGTTATTAAAAGACCATTTCTCTCTAAGAAGGGTGGCAGACCCAAACACCATCACTTTTGTTTTTTAAACATTTATAGTTAATCCATAGTCACAGATAAACCACAAAAAGGCAATGTTAATGAAAAGAAAATCTTTTACAAAGTATGTAATGCACATAAATTTGTTAACAATACCTAAAATACATTAATAAATTTAAGCACTGTATGTTAACTAAGAGGTAAAATCATGCTACTCTTGTTTTATCCTAACCAAGCACTAAAATACGTATACAGGTAACCCTTGTTTAACACAAGATTTGATTAGCATGTGAAATTAACTGTGGCAATCCCTTTACATACAGGGAAGAAGTTTTAATTAATTAGCTTTACCAACTGTCTTTACCTAACAGATATTGTATTCGATTAATGTGATCTTGATATGTGCAATAGCATTGAAGGATTAATTAACTGCATTAATGAAGTTATATTTCTATTACTTTTAAAATTCCAGAAAATAGTCATGGTTACACTGTTTTATAAATCTTATATAAATTAATTTATTTGAAATTTATTATTAAAAATTTTCCTAATATAAGTTGCTATTACAATGCAGTTTCATAAAATGATGCTATTAAAAGTATACAAAAAACTTTTTAATATTTTGGCTTTAAATCACAGGAAAAAAATGGCATTATTAAATTTATAATGTACATTTAAGTGTACAAAAAATCAAATATATACATTGTATTTAATGTGTAATCAAATAACTTTATAATTCATTCAATGGGCCCTTAACTGGCACGATAACCTTATTCCATTTTTCCATCTTGCGCCTTTTGCATCCACCAGTTACATTATAAATAACTTTATAATGCAACTGAAAATTGCAAATTCATTTAATATAATATTTAATACAGACTAATTCAATATAAAAGAAAATGTTCTCGACATTTTAGTTCATAGAATTACCTGAGAGCAGGATCTACATAAAAACGATACGTCCAATCAGTTAACCAAATCACGAGAGCACTGATGATGACAATTACAGATCCCAAAGCATCAGCAAGAATATGTAAGAATACACCTCTCATATTCATTTGACTTCCACTGTCTGAAAGAGATTTACACAATTGATTATTATAAATAAAATATTTTATTAAATATAATTTTTAAGTTTAAGTGTAAACATATTCATTTTTACTGTGAATGTATTTAATTTCCACATAAAAAGTTCTAAACAAAATATTCATTGTGGACTGTTATACAGTATATTGAAGTAAGTCATGTATTAAAGCAATCAATGTACTTTATATTGTGAATTGCATTGCTTCATCACAAAGAACTTTATCCAGAACTTTACTTCTTCAATTTTTTCCTTTGTACAATGGAGAAAAATTTAAACTGTTTTTTGAGAATAAAAAAAATCAAATTACATAGTCTCTACTAGTACTAATGATAACTGGCAAGAATTTCAATTATTAAATGAAAAACCATTTGATAATTATTACAGGTATGAAAAGTGCCATCAACTTGAAATTTTTTTTTCTTTCATTGCTGAAAAATACTTGCTAATCCAAAACCAATTATTGTGTAGTGTTATTCTGATTAGTGAAGCTATTTGTAAAGAAAACAAGTAAAAAATAAAAATACGTATGGTACATGTTTATACTGTGTGTTAATATTTGTAGTAGACATTCATTTTAAAATTTATCATGCTTTTTAAATAATAACTAAACAAACATGGTTTAGATTAGCAAAAATGAATTGTTCGTATACAATACAAAGTTCCAATTACTGTTTTATTCAAACAGATTAAGCATGTATCAGAAAAATCAACTCCAAGATGAAAAATCCATCACAAATTTTGAAATTCTGCACATTTGAAAAACTCAATAAGTGAAAAACTCTCTTGTAAAGGAGTTAAGAAAGCTTCATATAGAGAAGTAGCTTAGATAAAATGTATTTCAAATCATACTAAAGAGTGACTTCTTTTCAATGATAATTGCATATCTTTGTGGAAATTTTTAGAAATTTAAAACATAAAATCACTATTAAAGATTGTAAATGTGATTTCAAATAAACAATTTTCAAACAGTAAGTGTTTAATTTTTCACTTCAATACTTTACTTAAATTTTAAAATTGTTTGAAAATTTCCAGAAAACTTGTTATTTTACTTACAAATATATTGTATGTATGTACGAGGTCTGTCCCAAAAGTAAGTGTACTGATTTTTTATTTCATAATATACAAGAGTTACATCAAACTACGAATGATCTTCAAAGTACGACCCTTGAGAAATCACACATTGGTTCCAAAGTTTTTCCACTAGTCATACCAGTACTTGAAGTCATTTTCTGTAAAGGTGTTTAGTTCGTCGGTTCAACTTTTTTGATGTTTTCCACTGTCCTGAAATGTTGACCTTACAACTCTGATTTTATCTTAGGGCATAGGTATAAGTAGCATGGAACTAGGTCCGGACTGTAGGGAGGTTGTGGGCATGTGGAAATTTTTTCTTGACCAAAACTCTCAAATTTATAGCACTGTGTGAGCAGACACATTATTGTGGTGTCATCTTCTGAAATGTCCCTGCGTACTTGCTTGACCCATTTTCAAAGTTGTTCCAAGACATCTTTGTAGAAGACTGATTAATTGTCTGTCCTGAAGGCAAAAGTTCTTTGTGCACAATTCCACAGCTATCAAAAAAATTATAAGCATCATCTTTACCCTGGATCTTTGTGCCATCTAAACACCATGTTTATCGATAAGGTGGCATCTCCATAAGCTTTGGTTAAATCTGCAAATGTCTTGGTTGCAGATTTCTTGAGTTTCACACAAAACTTGATAGCATAAAGTTGTTCAAGATTTTACTCCATTTCAAACATAATGATGCATTAAAACACTATCTTACACAGAGATTGTGCACGTTTGACTTAACCAGTGCTGCCATTTCTAGGGTAATTTCAACCTCCTAGGGCAGGGGTGGTGAATCTTTTTGAGCCCATATGCCATACTTAGCTTTAAAGATGTTTATGCGTGCCAAAGTTTTAAACTTTGAATAACAATATTTAAATAAATTAAACAAAAAATGCTTTAATTAGAATAAATGAAACAATGATTGAAAAAGAAACGATAAATCAAAATCGTTCACTACGTTACATGCCAGATGATTTCTCCTTACGTGCCATAGGTTTGCCACCCGTCCTAGGGTAATGTTTAGGGTAAATCAGCCCTGTGATCTGGTGCTATTACCCATCGTGCCACAAGTTTTGCCTGAAAAAGACTTAGCTGAAAACCATTCTGTTTTCCTCTATAACTGGAGGCTTTTAAGATAGGACAACAGAAGCTAAAGAAATAAAGCAGGCTGGCACTAGGTACACAGGTGTACGCTATATTACACCAAAGTAAGATTTTGCTTTTCTCCTCCTTCATGCCATTGGGCCATTGGCACACTACAGTATAGGTACAACTTTTGAATGACAAAATCTTTTTACGTCATTCATCAGCTCATCTCACTTTGTGGCAGATACCATGTGTGACACGAACTTTGCCTGCAAGCAAATGATTTCGACCACACCAGGAAGACAACTTCTCCATGTCGTCCGATTGTTTTTTTATCCGAGCATGAGCTCAAGCTTGGAGTTTTCTGAATTTAGGGTAATCTAGGGTCAAACGAAGGCACCATCAGGATAGTTCCACCAGAAGTAGGCAGCAAGACTGCACTTAACCAATCAACTTGAAACAGTTCTAGATATGCTGCTAAGATATCTAGCAATGCAAAAATGCCAATTAATGATGTGTTAAGCTGCACAGTTATTAAATAAAAAATCATTACACTCACTTTTGGGACAGACCATGTATATAGTACATTATTCTATTAACTATATTTTACAAATGATAAAGGCAGTACAGTAAAAAAATTACTCATTGGAGGTTTCTTAGCATCTCCACCTTTAGGAGGAGTAGGAGGAAGATTATCAGACAGACGATAATTTTCTTGGTTGTCGTTTATATCTTCCTCTGCCATGACATCTTCTATAGTGGGAAGACTGTGATGATGTCCACGTCGATGGCTATGACCGCTACCATGATCTAAAACATTTACAAAACTTGACATAAGTTTAAATATACAGCAATAAACTTATAATTATTTTTCTATAAATAATCTTATTATAGAAATCACTGAAAACAGATTGAGCACAGTAAATTTTTGCACACTGCATAAAATAATTAACCTATTTGTTCAATATTCGTCTTTTCATTACACTCTACACTGTTTAACATTGCAATCTGGTTAATTTGGTTATAATGATTGATTTCATGACATTTCTGTAATTTAATCATAAAAATTTAAGTGTGTATGAATATGTGTATGTAATTTTACCGACAACTGCTGCAACTTAGCCTCCGCATGAAGGAAACTGCTATCACAATTACAATTATTACAGTGTCAAGGTTTAAAGTTAAATAATTTTACATAACACTTTAAATTCAGATATACTGTGTTTCTAAATTGCAAGCAACTAACTGTTCTGTTTGCTATAGAAATTCTCAAATATATAACTTGGATTAATAATAATAATGAACTTTATACATAAGCATACTAATTACACATACGATAGCTAATATACTAAATCATAAAAAATATAATTATGATTTGGACTGTGTAATGGAAATTGTAATATATGAAAGTACAGTAGAATTTCTTTCCCTACTTAACAAACATAGGGTCTTCCAAAATGAATGCTACCATTTTAAATTACTGTAATTATGTTAATTATTATCCAAGAAGCATGACATACACCAATCAATACAGTAACCAACAGAGTTTTCTCTCCCATCTGCATTCAAAATATTGTGTCGTCTACTATCTCTAGGAAGTGCCATAAAAAAATTAGTGACTCCACAATAGAAAAAGGCATTTTGTGTTCTGCAGTTCAAAGTTGAAATCACTCATTGTGTAACAAAAAATCTGCAAGAGCTGTTAAATTGTAGTTGCTGTGAGAAGAGTGACAACAGATATGTTGTAGCAAGCACGGGAAGAATTTGCTCATCGGTCAGATGTATGCCGTGTGACAAAGTGCATGCATTGAGAAATCGTAATGACAAACTTGAAACTTATACAATTTTCCAATGTTTTAATGTACAGTACATTACAATATTCTTGGATAATAAATGGCAGCATTTTTGGAATATCTTGCATAAATAATAGAAATTAATAATAAATTTAACTCGATATCTTCCATGATTTTATTTCTCTTTAATTTTGTTATTTGTTAATCTCAATACAAAAACATCCTAAAAATCTACATCCTAAATTGTAAAAATAAATCAAATCAGATATGAATCACTTGCATTGGTTTCAAGAAACTTAAAAAAATAATAATAATTTATTTAAATCTTTCTTATAAAAGAATTAACTTTATGAAAAATCAAAACAATTTATAATTTTTACTAAAATGTAAATGTAAAATTTATTCTATTGTATAATACAAATTTATTTTTTTACTTTATAAATGAACACGTCTCATGCATGATTTACTAGAACTATTGTTAGTACATATATAATGTATTCTATTTATATTCTGCAAGGTAATCAACACAAGAATTTACTTGGAATGTTTTCAATCTTTCGAACAGTAAATTAAAAATGATTGCTTCTACGAATTATTAAGTTAACATGATAGTGCTTAGCAGAAGCTGTGCAAAAGTGAAATGTTTCTAAAACAAACCAATATGTCTCAATAATATATTTTAATTGTTAATATAAAAAATAACTGACATATATATATATATCAGNGTATAAAAAATCTTTCTTTAAACATGGTACAAAGCAGCTTGATCTTTAGAACATGTCCATACAGCTCTGTATGCCTTTTAAACTGTCACACATATCAGTACAATGCTTACCCCATAATGCTATTAAGGCTGGGTACACATTAGGCTTTTTAAATGCACGTTTTGGTAACGTGCATTTAAAAGGCGTGTTTTAAAGAATCAAGAGTTCTGCGAAGGCATACATACTCAAACGTGCACTTTTGGCCAAGCGCGCGTCAAACACGTGTTGATAGATTTTTGTTAAAACGCGCGTTTTACGGGTGTAAGCCACGTGTTTTGAGATATATGTGCAACCATGTTGTTGTACATTCGATCGTGCACTTTCAGGTAGAGTGGACGTACATTGGCCAAATTGGAGAATGATCATTTCGATACTGATCTATTTTTTGATGAAATCTAAAAGAGACCAGCCATCGTCAAATGATTTTATAGATATTCTAAAAGAATTTAAAAATTTGGGTTCACATTATCTTAGTTTTAGATACAACGTCAGAAACATTCCATGCGTCAGTCTATCTCGTAATATTGGGTGCACCCAAAATTCTCTTTGCCTCTGCCATCATCTTTCATAGCGATGATGGAGGAAGCGCACACAAGCAATTACTTTCACGTCCATTTCCAAACTGAGCCAGTGCTAACGTTCCACTAAATGGTCATCGAACACCGAGCTAACGCGCGGTGTGTACGCTGCTAACACGTGTTTAACACAATGCAAAACGCATAATGTGTACAAGCCCTTAATGTCATTGCAGTGAATACAAATAACACAATATCATTATTAAGGTTTGAGGAATTAAATTCAGAAATCTCTTGAGAAATTCAATAAGAGATTCAACATAACTATTTCATATTACATCAAAGTAAATTTAATGCATGCATGAGTGCTTAAAATATTCTAATGTATTTACAAAATGATGTGTATGTTAGTAATTACATATTAAGTGAACCAGACAACACACTTTATCTTGATCAATTGCTAAACTAAAATCACTGCAACATAATCAAATTTTTAGAGCATGACTCAACAGCTTATATATTAGTTGGAATTGTTCTTTATATGATTTTAGCTTTACAGTTTGACTTAAAAATTTTGCAGTTTTCAGTTTATCCAATTTAACTTTATTTCTTCTTTTACTGTTTGTTCTATATCTGAAGTGAAAGAGCAATTTTTTCCCATCTCTGACAATCTGAAGCATTCTCTCTTTTAATAGTTTACTACAGTTCAATAGTTGCAATCGTTTAAAGATATTATCTATCAAAAAATTCCACAAGCATTTATTATTATTATTTTTATTTCTTTGTAAGATACACTTTCAAATATGTAATAAATAGTAAATCGATGCAGTAAATTGAACAGTAAAACAGGAAATTTTACTATGCCCAACTCACTGTATCAATCATTTCGGGAAATTCCCAATAATTATAACAACATTCAAAGATAACACTAACACCAAAATCCAGCAAAATAGAAAATTTTACTGTAGACTAACATTTTTATCCATATATAACAGACATCTTCAGGTTTAATTCCACAGAATAGAACAGTAAAGTTAAATTAAGCATAGATGATGTCCATTATATATGGATGAAAACAGTCTAATGTAAAATTTGTCTATTTTTCTGAATTTTGGTGTTGGTGAGTGTTATCTTTAAATATCTATCCAGTATTCTGAAGATTGTATTTGATTATGAGACATTTTTACAGTTCCAAATATTTAGAGGAAGCTTTTCAGCTTTTAAGTGTGTTCTTATAGTTTTAAGATAAAATATTGTCTACTATTCTAAACACGGATGCTTGTGAAACATTAAGAAAATATCTTTATGGATTATCTATGTTAATTTTTAAGAATTTCTCTAACTTAAAATTGCGATGCTACTAAAAATATATTAAAATACTAAAGTATCGAGATTAAGCATACTTACGATGAAACAGAAAAAGTCCGATTATATTAACTATGAGACCAATACATCCAATGTACAAAAGCAAGACTGGTTTATGAATAATGTCGTACTCGTAGAACCGTTTTAAAGATTCCACAAGGATAGAGAAGCACAATGCTACTAAAAACACTGCATTTACTAAAGCACCTAATACTTCGGCTCTTGCCCATCCGAACGTGTTTTTAGACCATTTTCTCGGAGACATCTGAAAAACAGATTTAAAGTCATAAATTTATTTCAAAGCTGCTTAAAGTTTTCATATTACATAATAAAATATTTTAAAATCTGTTTAGAGCTGTTTTACTCTAGTCAAACTGACAGGATTTTAATGTAGTGGTTTTCAAAGTATGATCCTTGGACCACTGGTGGTTTGTGAGAACACACTGTACAATCAAGAGATTGACCCAGACATTTTTCCAAAATTTAATTCTATGTTGTTTAGCCAGAGAAAAGAACATTTTCCTCACCACATCTCTTACATTGGGTCACAGGATAACTTGTATGCCAAAATACTTTGTCTATCATTATTTATTTACGGGATTAAAAGTAAATGGAGTATAGGTGGTCTGCGGTTCATCTGCAATTCAATTTAAGTGGTCCACGGATTTACAACTTTGATAACAACTATTCTAATCAATTCTAGAAGAAAAAAAATCAGATAAAACAGGAGACAATTATCTAAACATTAATTATAAGGTAATACGTACTGACTAACTAATTGCAATGAGACAATTCTCATTACTTTTATACAAAAATTTACATTTTTAACTGAAAATTTCTTTTGTTTTAAATGAATATTAACTTCAGATATTGAGAATTTTTCATTTGTTTCTTACAATTAACAGCATAAAGGGCAAACTTACACCATTCCAAGTTTGTGTGTTTTCAAACAGATGTTAAAATTTGAAATTTTCTAGATTTTTAAAATCATAAATCATCATTCCAGCAAGTTTTTGAAAAAGGAAATGTTACATTTATTGATTATTTTTTGTAAGTAATCCATCATTTTTGAGAAACGAATTCAATGATAATTTATGAATAAGCGACATTAAATAATTCAACAATCACCACTACTGTAAATTTACCGTAGGAGCAAAACTTATGGGAAATTTTTACAAAATAAAGCATTTAAAATTTGTCTATCAAAAAATTAACAAATTGAATTCAGAATTAATTAACACCTGGACACCCTCATCAACATGACATTCTCCAGGTTTAACCACAATAAGACCATATTTCAGAACTCAATATTATAGTTAAATGTGGAGACTGCCACATTGATGAGAATGTCAACCAAAACGCATTCATAGGAAAATTAAGCAAATATATGGCAAACCTTTGTAGAAAAAACATCATTTTGTCATTTCTGTTAATCAACAGATATACTTTGTGGTTCCATTAAAGAAATACAGTGTGACCCAATTGGGTAGGGATAATTTGAAAAGTTGTGTTTTAATAAAAAGATTACTTATATGAAGTTCAAATTCTGCCACAACAGTATGAGAAGGAAGTTTCATTGTGTAATTTTGTCACGTGACAATAGTGAAAATGGCAGTGACCATGGAGCAATGTCCTTTGGCATGTAAATACAGTATTCACAGTATTGCTCCTGTATTAATTATAGCATGTACTGTACAAGTACTACAGGTACATTTTCAGATAATCTTAAAGATGCATTGACATGTTGTGTACAGCAGTCAACTAAAAAAAAAAAAAAAGCAACGGAAATGTAAGCTTCTTTCTCAGAATCACGCTTGCAACCGCTGGAGTTTGGCTTCACAATTGGCCATTTCTTTAAATCTCAATACTGATGCATTATGCAATCATACTCAGATGCCTTCTGAAACTATAAACACAACAAAACTCATGTTCAACAACCACTACACACACACACACACACACACAAAATCAGCATATCAAAGGACACACTTAGCACATTGCTCCGTGATTGGTACCAATTTCACTTTTGTCACGTGATGAAATTACTCAATGAAACTCTCACCTTCCCCTACCAGTACAGCAGAGTTTGAACTTCATACAACTAATACATTTATTATAACAAAGCTTTCAAATTATACCAACCAAATGGATCACCCTGTATATTCACAGATTAAAAAGTGTAAGTTAATATTCCAGCTCTGCATCTTTCTGATTGCAAATATTGTATTGTGACATTTTTATCTCAATATACTCTTTGATGATAAGTGTGAAATTACCTTTTGTTTGTATAAATTAGCAAAAAGTAAAAGATTTTATAATACAAACAACTGCAAAATTTGCTTCCTGTTCAGATGATTATGTTAATTTTCTACCGTGTTTCCCCGAAAATAAGACAGTGTCTTATATTAATTTTTGCTCTGAAAAATGCGCTAGGTCTTATTTTCAGGGAATGTCTTATTTTTTCCAGGAAGAAGAATTCACATTTATTATTGAACAAAAAAAATTCCCAAGTCGAATTTAGACGAGAGTGATATATATCCGGTGTGTAGAACTGTCGCCTTTTTATAGCGTCAACATCTGACTCGATGACCAATTAGTGCTTACTGAACCGTAGCACTATGCAAATGTCATGTGGCGTGATTCCCGTCCGACCAATTAGCCATCACCAGCCGTAACGTTATGCAAATCTGTGATTCCCAAGCCATAGTCTTATGCATATCATGCCGTGTGGCGTAATTGTCTGCTGACCAATCAGTGGATGTACTTTCAAAAAGCGAACGGTCACTTTCAACCATCTGTCGACTAAAAACAAAACTTCGCTAGGCCTTACTTTCAGGGGAGGTCTTATATTTCGCAATTCAGCAAAATGTGTGCTAGGTCTTATTTTCTGTGGATGCCTTATTTTCGGGGAAACACGGTATTTGCCATTAATATACCTCAAACACAAACTTATAATGACCACAAATGACTTTAAAGTGTCTGTTTTATCATTTCAATTTTATTGACTCCAATATGCATTTCAAACATATAAATTTGTTCCTCTTCAATTGGGTACGATATAAAGACAAATTAACAAGATCTTGTTTTTATTAATAAGTTCTATGATGGAATCAAAACTAAAGTTAAAAAAAATTTCTATTTTACCTGTTTTGTTTAAAAAAAAAGTGTGGAATTTTTAGCTGTTAATATTGTAAGTAAAAACTAAGCATAAATCATATTACCCTTTGTCAGTATTAAGATAATTCTTATTTTTAATTTGTCTATGTAGATATAATATTTTACCCAAGTGAAGAGAGGAATTTATACATCCGAAATGCACATTCAAGTCAATAAAATTGAAATGATAAAACAGTCACATTAAAGTAATTTGTAGTCATTATGATAAGTTCTGGTTTCAGGCATATTAATGGCAATAGAAAATTAACTATATGACGACTTCGTTCTTACTTTTCATTTGCTTGTCAACATGTTAAAACGTAATTTGGTTCATTTTTATCTCAAAATATACTAAGCATTTAAAATGAGCACTATCGAGTACTTAAATTACAATAAATCTCAGACAAATGTAGGAAATTATTAACGTATTAAATATTTATAGTGCACTTGTAAAGTCACTCTGCAGTGAGCGATGTCCATGTGGTTTGGCCAAGTGGTGGCATTTTAACTTACTTTAACTGTTTTGACACATGGTCTGTCTGCGATGTTCTCACTTCATTCCTGGAAGCTCCTCCCATTTCCCTCCTCTCTGTAGAATGACTACAATCGCAAGTACAAAAATCATTCTTATTCCAAACTAGCTTCTAGTCAGATTCAACTTAATTGGGGAAAATCTCTCCATTGCAGGCATATCACATTTGCATTTTATTCTTATAAGAGGAGGGTCAAGAAACCAGTCACATAGCCAGGAATAAATCATTATGGGCAAGAGATGCAAGCTGAAAAAATTGTGATTGTTTTTCTCCCTCTTTTCTAGCTAGCGACATAATAGCTACAGTCAAAGTGTAAGAAAAGAAAGAGTAGCTTAAGTTTATGTGATGAAAGTGAAAGCATATATATATATATATATACTACTGGCTAAGCTGAGGGAAACTTTGAATTTTCCAAATATTCAAATCATCAGGATTAACTGAATTAAATTTGTTACTATTAAAAAGATTTGTCTAATTCAGACTGCTTTTCTTGGTGTAAACCTGCCACAAATATGCTTCCTTGCATTGCTGATTTATGCATTTTCTGGTATGGAGCATCATTAGTGATGACTCTCAATCTGTTTTCTTACATCAACTAATGACAAGTATGTACATACAACCTGAAAGTACTAAAAAGTGATTTTCTAAATTATCTCATTCCAAAAAAGTGCTTTGGTTTAGATTTACATTTAATGAGTTTCCTTAACAAGAGCATTAAGATTGTTCGCTGAGATATTTACTACTGTATGCATTTGGAGCTAGAACTATTTAAAAAGACTAAGACAAAACCTTTCTCACTTTGTTTCTAGCCATTTAAACACCGAGTACAAACGTTTTCGGCCCCCAGTATACAGTTCCTGAAGAAGGCCTTTTAAAAAGGCAGAAAACATTTGTACTCAGTGTTTAAACAGCTAGAAACAAAGTGAGAAAGGTTTTGTCTTAGTCATTTTACTACTGTAGCAATTATTAAAATATTGTTTCAGAAAGTATTGAATTAACAACTGTATAATAAAATAAAATTACTGAAGGAACTTACACCAAAATATCTCATGATTCCATGAAAAATTATGAAGTGATACTTGTTTATTTGTTTAAACTGGAAATTATGATTTATGATTATTTTTATTATAACAGAATTTCATTTTGGTAGTCTAATTTTATCAATCATTTAACTTTTTATAAGGAAAAATTATTAATTAAATTCCATCATTGAATTTTAAACAGAATCGCAAATGTCGACCACACATTATTTGCAAATTAAAACTGCATGGATGACATTAAAGATGGCTCCACACATTTGGTATTTTCCAAATACTTATAATTGTCAATTCATCCCTTTTGATTTTGCAGAATATACAGAAAATGGCATATACCAAATATTAGTCGCAAGTATATACCATATATCACCCATTACCAATCAAATGTTTGTCGGAATTTGGCAATTATGAAGTGATTTTCCATTGTCATAAAGTAAGACATTTTACTAAGTTCATAAAAGTAAAATTTATGAAATAAAAAGAATTTCAAGAAGTTTCTATTGTCAAACAATGGACTTACCTGAACAGAAAGGAAGGCAATGACTAGAGCTATCACATCGGAAAGCATATGAAATGAATCTGCCACTAATGCTACAGAATTTGTGACGTAACCGACGACGATTTCCACCAAAAAGTATGATGCCGTGAGAAAGAACATGCTCATCAGGCGACATTTCTTCCCTGAGTAACGTCCCATGTTTGGAAAACTTACAAAATTTTTCAAGTATTAAAGTTTTATGAATGAAATAGCTTTTTGAAGTGTTTTCAAATACTAGTTTAAATTATGCTTGTCGAAATAATTATTTGATATCCTTTATAAAGACTGACCAAATGAACGATGATTGTTTCGTTACTTTGTTAATGGATTATTTCTGGATGGATTTCTTGGCAGTCTGAAAAAAGAATAAGGAATAAATCATACATTATGTAACATTACCTTTTCAAGTTGAGCTTAAAAACATTTAATTATCTAAATTTTATGTGGCCACAAACCAACTTCTGATTTTCCATCATTTCAATGATCTATTTCTGAAAACACATTACGAACGAGTACAGTTCGTAATGTGTTTTCATGTTAAATAAATTCCAAAACACGCAAGTTAAAATACACTTATAAAACTATACTTTAATCTAAAGTTGTCATTATCCTTGGGTAAATAAGCATCTCTACACGGTCTTCTCATACTATCAGACTCAACACACAGCTGATAACATGCAATTGTTATCAGTGTTAACTAGCGCTTTACGGGAATGGGATGAAAAGTTCATACAATCTCATGTAGAGGACAGGCAAACAAAAAAAATTATATTTATTAATTTAATCACAATTTTTTTGAATTTAGTAGGTTGTTAGATGGTGGTTTGAACGGCCATTAATAGTTATGGAAAAAAAGGAGAATATTGGAAAAACAAATTTACAAGAGAAATTTAAAATGGAATGCAGGCTACACTGGATAAGTCTTGTCTTTCCTATACTATGGTAAAAAAAAATAGAGAAATGAGTTTAAACAAGGATGAACAAGCTTAGAAGATGATGCTTAATCTGAATGACCAAAATGGCTACTACACCGGGAATGGTCAATAAAGTCAAGTCCACAATATGATTTTAGAAGATCACAGATTGAAGGGCTTCAGAAACAGCAGAAGCTTTGGGCATCTCAAAAAATGGATACTTCATATTTATACAAAGAATTGGACATGTCCATGTTAAATACATGATGGGTACAAGACATGCTCACAAATGAACAAAAATGACTTTGCCATCTGACGTCAAGTACGACTTGTTACTGATTTGCAAAAGTTAAACAGATACTTGCATCGATTTGTGACAACTGAGAAACTCGGATCTATGCACCAAAATCCAAACAATATTCAAAACTGTGGACAAAATGTGAAGAATCTGCACCAGTAAAGCAAAAACAGTTATTGGCAGGAAAGATCATGGCAAAAATCTTTTTGGATGCAAAAGGTACATTGATAGATTATCTAGAGGAAGAAAGAACAATAAATGGAAAAAATTAGTTCTAACAATGAGCTAATATTGACTGTAAATTCCTATTTTGAAGGGCTAGAAGAAGCATATATTTGAAGATAAAGAAATAAGAACACCATTGGAATTAATGTATAGAATTGTGAGTAGATATGATTAAATTGTTTTTAAGTGTCAAAAAAAGAAATATATATTCAATAACGAAAACTTTTCAGCCTTCCTTATAAATATTAAATTTAATAGTTTTAAATTATTTGCTCACAGTACATTCATTTAAGTTGCTGGCATTTCATACTTCAGTTACACAACTACTACTAGTAATAATAATAATAATTATAGGTCATAAATCTTCAAGTTATATATTTTTTAATTGTTTTAGCATATCCTTTTAATTTTGGACTTAATAAAACCAGAATTTCTACTAATTGTAGTCATATTTACTTAATCAACTGATAACATTAAGTAAGGATATCATGACTACAGGCAAGTCCTAAAATGATGATTACAATAAGCAAATTCTACACGAAATACCTAAATAACTTCAAAAATACTAGTGGTTAGTTCATCCTTACTGAATATCCTACCAAAGTTAACAAAAAAATAGTATTTAAGTGGTAAAATTTATTAAATACATTAAATACAATTAAAATCATTTAAAAAAACACTACACTTGTATCATGTAAATAATAATTTATAAAATAAACATGTCTGTCTACATTTTGATCTTTATTGTAAAATTAACATCTTTAAGTAAATCACAAATACAATATATTAATTTTATTAATATAGTTAAACAAAATAAAAAGATATTCAATAAATTTTTTAAAAATATATAAATAAAAATACTTAATACATGGCATCTAAGCTTTTTAATATTGTCTAAATTCAATTTATTCTCTGAAGGAGGAGGAGGAGAAGAAGGAAAGAGTGAATGAGGAGAAAAATTTGACACTCTCTTCAGCCAAAAGGAAAAGCAAAGGGAAATCAATTCATTCTCTGCAAAAAAGAGATAGGAATGAAGGACAAGAAGAAAGACAGGAAGAAGAGAACAAGAAACTGAACTTATTCCATTCAAAGAAAAGATTTTTAAATTATTCAACAATTTAGATATTTTCTTCTTTACTTTTTAAAAATTTTATTACAGTGTTATTTATTAATTTTTTTATTTTTCATCATTCTTAAAATAATCATAAACAGACACTGTCTCACACTCCAGTTATTTTTGTCTTTGTTAACAAAGCATTAAACTGTTTTTGTAAACAAATAAATCAGCTAATTTGTCTATTTATTCTGGATACAGTGGGTAGCACTAAATACACTTAAAATATTTACTAGATCACAAAATGATTTTGCCAAAAAGATAATCGAACAATGTTTAAATAATGACAAAGACTATGAAAAAACTAAGACTTTAATGTTAACGATATATAAATATTTTAAGGGCAATAACAAAATTAATTACTACAAAAAATTTAAATAAAATTAAAATAAACAAACTAGTTAGCAAAACAAATGTATTGTATAACAAGCACAAAAAAATATTATTAATATATACATTTATTTATTTATTTGTTTAGTAAATCTATTATAAGGATTTTGGAATGCTGAAGAAAGAAATAAGCACACATTTTTCAAACAAACTAACTTATAAATAGCAAAATCAAATTTTAAATACAGGAAAAAATGGAGGCAAAGGACATAGAAGAGGCAGAGGCAAAGGAAGAGGAACAAATGGAAGGGGAGGAAGAAGAGTGGAATGAAGGAGGAAAAAACTTCACATTGTCATCTATATATACGGCTTGTAATACAAAACTAAATATGATGAAATACATAAATGAACAACAAACAGCAAGAAATTACTTTATTTGATTAAAAATTAGAGCAAAAAAGAGATGAAACAATCATACGTTATAATATTAATGAAATATATTTATTTTGTATCATTAGTATTTGTATTTCATAACAAGCTATATTTTGTGCTGTAAAATGGTAAAATTTCCTAATGATTAATAATTAAAAAATAAAATTAACATTTGCAACTAATAAAATGAGCGACAAACTAAAAAAACTACATAAGTGTATGGGAATTCATAAGTTAAAAACAAACTAACCATACAAATCCTGTTAATAAAACTGAATTTGATGATAATTTCATCATTAGATACTGGATCTACAAGTAAATGACTCCTATCAACACTTGAATAGATCTTAAAATATATTATTTGGATAATTATAAGAACAAAAGGATCTACAATGAAATTAGCAAAAATAAACAATTTTATAGCAATATATTTAAAATCATTATTATTAATATGAATTAAGCATAAGAACAGCAAAACTAATGTGATATTTAATTCTTTATAGCTTTGGCAAGCTAATGAAGAAATGCAGGCTACTTTGAAATGCCCACATAAAAAGGGGGTTTAGACGAACAAAACAGTGTTATGTCCTTCGAAACTGACATTCACCCAAGTTCAGATCCTTGAACTTGGGTGAACATGTGATTCGAAGAAGGATCAGCAAACGTTCTGATCTGAAATGGACTTAAATAAAATATCTGGGAATAACATGGTCTTATGAGTAAGTCTTGAACTCAGGTGAAAGTAACATTGGATTCAAAGGACATAACATTTTATTCGTCCAAAAATCCCCTTTTAAGTGGTTATAAAAGTGAGAATAGTACAGTAGACCCCCCTATAATGCGGGTTCCTATAACGGAGATTCCTATAACGTGGCGAAAAAATTGCGACAGTATTCGTATAAAGACGCTAAGAGGGACTTGTAAAACGTCGTCGCCGACTCATGTCGCAACGACGTTTTGACGAATCTGGACCAATAGTAGACGAGCAGCCGAACTACTTACACGCTATGGAGAGTTTAGGTGAGTAAGTTGAGTTTACTATCGTCTGTACAGTATGTAAATTAGGTACCGTAAGTTTAATACAGCACTGTAATTTTATACATTTCTTGTGAAAGAAACATTTCTTATTCAACGGCCATAAAAATTATTTCTATTAATGATGTCTCCAAAGTTCAACGAATTTTTCGCAGAAAAATAACTTCAGAAATCGCGGCCGCAATTTGATGCGCTGTTCCGCGACGAAACCAAGCTTTAGCAACGAGCGTAGTCAAAGGGTACACACTCGGTAAGTAATCCTACAATTTTTTGTTTATAACGTAGT